TCCTGGTCCCTATATCTGGCTTGAGGTTCGGGAATATAGGGTGCTTGAGGGGTAACTGCTCAGCTATGTGCTTAGAAATCTCAAAACTGTAAAAGGCTGGAAGGGGAAGGAGGCGGGAAAGGGGAGGGGTCAGCCAGAGATTTTAGAAGAAGAGCAAAGGAAGAGAAACATTCCTGTCCTTTTGGTGCAGGAGACAGACTGGGAAAGCAGTAATTCCTGGTGTGCCGGCGACCCCTGCTGGCTGCTCACATCACCACCATAGAGCCAAGGAAGCACTGGGGGGGTTTCCCTGAGACCTGCTGGGCATCACTTGGCTGAAAGTGTTCTGTGACTGCATCAATGTACAACATTATAGTGTGTGCGGCACTGCACACGATAGTGTGTGGACACCCTGGGCGAAGGCAGTAATGTGACTGATCAGAAGATGCACGAACTTCAAGCTCTTGAACTCCCAGCTGCTCTCTAGGGGACTCTGGGTGTGGAGCAAGACCATTGAGCCCAGCCTGTCACGGCACCACCAGTGCCATGTCAACAGCACAGACCCACTCAGAGTGGCTCTGGGTCCAAGTTGTATCAACCAGTCCATAGAGCGTAAAGAATGCCTACTTTGCAATCAGACTAGGTTAAAGTCCCAATTGTCTGGTTCCCACCCTGGTAACCTGCAAGTGACTGACAGTGTTTGAGCCCAGCTCCTCACATAAGGGGTGTGTCAAGTACCTAACGATGTTAAGCTTTTAATAAATGCTAAATTTTCTCTTCCTTTATCTACCTCCCACCCTCAAGGTCAGGTAGAAATTTCAAAAGGCAAATAAACGGGAGATGATGTTGACCATGAAGATGGTGATAGTTTATATTTATACCACTCATGCAAATAATTTTCAACATATTTTAATACAGGGCTTTTTTCCTTTTTATTAGCCACGCACATCATGATCATGTTTTATTGGGGTAGAACTATCCCGACGTTATGTCAGATATCTAGGAAAGATGGCCTTATGAAATGATAACAAGGCATGACAAATCTTCCTTTATTGTGATACATTTTCATTACTCAGGTTAATCAGAAATTACCCATTAGAACAAGAGCTTGAGATAAGTACATGACAGTCATCTGTGGAGATCAAAATCTCTGATTTTCCAATGGGTACCTAATTGTTATTGCCATTGTGGGGGGACGATTAATGCTTAGATTGAACCGGTCTTAAAACATTAGAATAACTCAAAGAGATATGACAGGTAGTTAGAATTAGTATAGTCTGAAATTAAAGAGAAGACAGATTTCAATTTCACCGAACGATATCCTCACCCCTACAGCTGTCCAGTGACAGGGGCAGACTGTGTGTGAAGTACAGAGCTGCGTTTCTGCAGGAATATTGAAACGGGCTGGCTGACTCCCGGGCAAGCTTACCATGAGAGAGATTCGTGCTGCAGAGGGAGACTGGGTAAGAGGCCCTCTGAGGTCCCTCTACAAACATACTTGAGTGGATGATAAATACTTAGCGCAGCACAAGCATTGCTCCAAACAGCATTACTGCCACAGCCACCATCCTTGTTTGTCACCACAGGGTGAGGATGGGGGACGGCAATAACAGTGCTGTTCTCTCCTGAGATTTTTCTCCCTTACAAGGAAAGGCAAGAGTCTGGGGACATTCTGACTCTAACCATCCCTACGTTTGTCTTGATTTCTTTTGCAATCCTCATCTTTTTCTCCGTAAGATTGTCTTCAAGTGCCTTAAAGAAATCTTAAGAGCCTTGTTTGTCATTTAGTGTCCTTGAAGGGATGAGTGAGTAGTAAGCAGTGGAAGAAGGGACTCACATTTGTTTAGCTCCTATTAAGCATAGGCCCTATAAATTTTGTTCTTGATTAAGAGAGGTGTGTAAATGCTTTCATGCAGGTGTGTGTGAGTGCGTGCGTGTGCGCGCGTGTGTGTGTGCGTGCACGTGCACACATATATTGCATTATGGATGCAAATGTGGGTGGATCTGAAGGAATGCTTTGCTGCTCAAGCCTTATGAGAGGTCTTGGTATATGTGTAGCATTTTGGGTGCTGCAAAAGCTTCTGTTCTCCCACAGGCTAGTCATGAGGCAGTCTTCCCGTGTTTGTACATTTTTCAAGGTTTCTCTGCTCCTATCTTGGGCTTTGCTGTGTTGACACTTCAAGATTTAGCTGCTTCCTTGTCTCCATGTATGCATCATTGCCTTTCTCTTCTCTGTCATGGTGCATGCAGATCCATGTATCCAGCCCCGTGTGAAGCCATGTATGTCCTGTAGCCTCTTCTCAAGGAAGACTCTGCAGAGAGTCCTTGGCACCCTCCCCTTCTGGATGCCCCCACTTCCCACTTTCCATGCCAGGAGAGATCTAATTACACAGAAATTAGTACAGAGAAGGATCGTTTGCTTTTATGGCATCAGCGCCAGGGCAGCTGTAAATCTGGAGCTGCTACTGCAGCAGCCTCTGGGCACTGTGCAAACTCTGAGGGGCTATCACCTCTTCACCCCCTCTCACTCTGGGCTGTTACCCCTATCCAGGACCTGACAACCCTTTAAGGTACCCATCTCAGCAAGGGACGAGGTGTGAAAAGGGGGATGCGGTAAGTCAAAAGACACATAATAGGTGCTCAATAAACGTTACCTAAATGATTAGAGGATGATTTCCAGCAATGTGAGCCACTGCATAACTACCCAGACCCATGACCATAAGAATACTCCTAGAAAAATTCCTTAGAATTTTCAAGTTCTTACCAGCCTCCCACACTTTTCTGTGGAACCAGATAAAGCTGGTAGAGCAATGTCCCACCCTGAATTCTACTTCAGAGGCCCCAGATTCCTTCTTAGGTAGCATCAGGTAGTGAGGACAGACCAAGTTCAGATCTTGATTATTCTCTTAACTAGATAAGTGGCCTTGAACACACCTTCCAGCCTGAGCCTTGGTTTCCCTATCCATGAGGTAGTGGTCAAAAAAATCTCAGCATGTGAGAGACACCAGAAGCAAATACTGAACTAACAGAAAGGTAGTCTTCTATGGTCATTATCAAAACTCTGTTACTGTATTGCTAGCTAAGGTTCCATTCTCCACCACGACTTATCCTCTTCTCTCCCACAACCCTTCCATGTAGTCTTTATCACAACCAGCCCCCAACTCAAAGGCCATTATACACTTTGGGACATCACAACATGTAGGCATTGTGCCCAATCAGAAAAGAGTGTTTATTCATGTGAGAGTCTCTTCTGATGAAAAGAGTGAACATAGAAGACTCTAGCAATCCCTGGGCACCTGGAGGCAGTGTTTCATCCATTGCCAACACATCTAAGCTCCTACCATGGTGGTGGTTATTTGTGTTTCTTTTTGTTTATGATACTGTGGATTGAATAAAGGAGTACATACAATGCAGACAAGTGCTCTCTCTCTGAACTACCTCCCAGTCCCAGCAGTGGCTATTTTGAGCTCCATTATTTCACAGAAGGAATGAATTGGGTCCCTGGAGTACTAGAGGGTCCAATTGTAAAGAATTGAGAAGAATTGAGGATTTAGAGATTTGAGAGGGAAGTGGGAACTGGGGAACTGGGATAAAGATGGGCCTATTTCTGGAGTAACAGAATCAGAAACCAAAACCAAGACTTCTTGCCTACACAGTCCCCAAGCCAGAGGCTTGGGGCCTCCCTCCTCTTGTTCTTTCTGATCCTGATGTCTCCAAGACAAGGCACCTTGACTAGAAGTCCTGAATTTACTCCTATGTCGATAATTCTGGAAAGCTTCAAGGGGTGTGTAGGTCAGGAGAGGATGTGTGGGTACATCACTATCCCCAACCCCAGCCCACCTAGGACTTGGGCAGGACATTCTGTTGCCACCACTGGGGCAAGGGGAGCTGGCTAGAAAGAGTGGAGGTACATCCTCTGTGTCCTGCTCACCCCTGGATCTGCGTCCCAGAGAGGGTGAGGATTTGGCGTGAAGGGCAGAGGGTGGGTAGGGGGAACTCTGGCCCCCGCCTCTCGCAGCCCCCAACCCCAACTCAGGCTGCAGTCTCTCCTCGTTGTAGCAGAGCGAGAGCAAAGGGACGGGCAGTAAAGATGAGTGATGGCGTGGAGACAAGCAGAAATACACCATCATGAAAATGCTAATGACTCCTTGCTCTCTTTCTTTATGGTTGGAGTAATACAGACTTCAATCATAAAAACAATCTCCCAACATTTTAATGGGCTCCATCATGCCCGCACTTGTCGGTATATTTGAAGAATAAATCACCCTCCCCGCTCGGAATGAATTCGCTGTCAAACTCGGCTCCCTCGGAGAAAATGGATGGGGAAAGAGGATGGAGGGTTTTTTTTTTTAGGGGAGGGTGTCGTCTCCCCCTCTAACTCCCTCCTAAACTGGATTGTTGTGAGAGCTGCCTGGATTTTGAGTAGCAAGCAGGGTACTGTTGGAACTCGGGAGGGCTGAAGCTACAGAGAGGGTTTTCAGAGGGACTCCACATGGATAGAAGTCACCCTTGGGATGGACGAGGAAAAAGGATAAGGGGTAGGGATAGTGCGCATTAAAGAATAGAGCAAAATACTAACACTGAATTGAGGGAAAAAAGATGGCAAGATTCTGCACATCCATATCATTTCTGCATTATTTGGTCGAATTTCTTTCAGATTGTGCCCAAGCTGGAGCGCAAAAGGAAAAGGGGGCGGTGAGAGATATCTTTTGTGGGGCAGAAGAGCTTAGGGCAAGAAACAGGTTCGGCTCTGAGCTCGCAGCTTTCAGTGCAGTAAGCCACAGGTCTGTCTGGCTGAGCAGGGCCTTGGAGTCCGGGGTAATTCTCATTTCCATACAGGTGGCCGTCAGCCAATGAAAACTTGGGATTGCGAGCAGCCAATCCCGGTTAAGGATGAGCTGACTTGGCAGGTTTAATTGCATCTTGATTGGTTGAGATGTTGCTAGGCAAAATTGGTTCCTGGAGATTGATGCGGGCCAGACTGGAGAGGCAGGTGACTATGAAAATATCTGGGAACCTGGACTACTGGGTTGACATTTTTTTCTTCCCGAGTTCTTTCATTCGTAAAGATTTGACAGGGTCAGGAGAATGACCTTAAAGCCCTTGGCCCCCCAAAAAGCTTTCATTAAAATCTGGCTATTTGGAGGGCCGTCTAAACTCGACAGATCTCCAGAGAACTTCACTCTGGCCTGCCTTAAGCTTACCTGTAAGCCTTTGAGCTGTAACTTAGGCCCACCTTTCTCTAATATGCTCAGGAATTGAAGAAATCGTGCCCCACATTCACCATCATGCGGCTCCTACCTCCTTGCCACTCGGGGCCAAAACCCCTGCGAGGGGTCAGATTCTCATCCCAAGGTCTGGGAAGTGGTGTTCCCAAGCCAGCAGCTTCTGAGCCTTCATCTGCATCTGGTTTGCATAAACCGTCCTCCCCTCCCACTCTGGACCACGCGCACGGGGGCTCTCCCCATCACAGCACCCACCCTGGCTCACCCCCGCTTGCAGCGCCCCCTGCCGGCGACAGGGCCCGGCGCTCTGCGGTGATCCCTAGCTGCAGCCTCCCGTGAGGCCGAGGACCGTGGCGGAGGGGTGGAGGCGGTCGCCCTGCACGGGAGCCCGCGGGTCTGACCGACACCGTGCGCGAACAATATGCCACCATTTAAGTCTGAACGCGAGCCAGCCGCCGATTGTGATGTTAATTCGGCGATGATTTAGGGGGGCGGGACGGAGCGGGGCCGGCCGCCTCTCTGTCAAAGTGCTGTCCGGGGACCTTAATATTAGTAATTGAAGCTGATGAGGACTCCGTCTCTGTTTCTACTGATAAAAAATAAAAAATAAAAAGGCAGGGAGGGAAAAGGAGCAACTAAATTATAGGGCCGGGAGAAAAACATGATTAATCAAAGGTTTGAACTGTCGCCGTGCTCGAGGCCCAGTAAATCTCGCCGGCCGGGGCGTGTGGAGGCCGGAGGATAAATCTGAGCCCCGTGGAGTTTGCCGCCCCTTACTGTTTGCCACTCGCGTCGCACGTCAATTAATTCGATAATTGGATTTGAAGAGATGTCAGAAGATTATCCAGGGGGAGCGGGAAGAGCGGTTGCCAGGGTCTGCGATGGGCAGCGGAGGCGAGCGAGCACCGAGGCCGGTAGAGGGACGGGAGAGCCAGGCAGGCCTGTCCGGATCCTTCACGCAATTAGCCTGTGCTCAGCTCTGCAGCAGCCCCCGAAAAGGCGGCTGCCTGAGCTGGGGCCTCAGGTCGGTACCAGTCCCCAGCTGTTATTTGCTGCCCAGTCTCCAATGCTCTCCCTAAGGCCTGTCCTGTGCCACCACGGGTTTGTCTCTTGTCCAGCGTTGTATGTAGGTTTGTAATTGAAGTATCTCTGTTTACCCAAGCTCCTATGAACACCTGGTTCACCCCATCTGATCTCTGATATTTTCCTCAAAATATTGGGAGTTCTCAGGAAGACAGGGACCAAGACCTCTCTTTGATTCCTCACTCCCACTGGTGGTAATTATTCTTTCCCTCACTCCCTTCCCATACACGTAGATCCTAACCTTTTTATTTATTTATTTTTTAAGGAAAATGCCTTCACAGACACATACACACCAGGCCCCTAGCTTCAGTCTGACAAGAAAATGCCACTGAAATTCAGTCCTTCGGCAACTTCAGGTGGATCCCCCAAAAGGCTGCACAGGGGAGTAAACTTGTTTCTCTACGAGGGAGCACGGCACTGTCAGGGAGACCTGAGGTGAGATCAGCCTACCTCTGTGTGTGTGTGTGTGTGTGAGAGAGAGAGACAGAGAGAGACAGAGACAGAGACAGAGACAGAGACAGAGACAGAGAGACAGAGAGAGACAGAGACAGAGAGAGACAGAGAGAGAGACAGAGAGAGACAGAGAGAGACAGAGACAGAGAGAGAGACAGAGAGAAAGACAGAGAGAGAGAGAGAGAGACAGAGACAGAGAGAGAGACAGAGAGAACAGAGGGTTGGATTCGATTATGCTTTCCCCTATGGTGTCTGTAGAATTCTATTCTGGGATAGGGGAAGGAGAGGGTAGAAGCTTACAAGCCAATCAGGAAAAGGGGGATGGAAAATGACAATACGAAATTGAAGGCTCAAGAAAGGTAGTGAAGGCAAAGCTCACAAAGACTGTCTGGCCTTGCTGCCTGCAGTAAAGAAATCCTAGAGGGAAACCACCCAGCAAGTCTCTGCAGGAGCCAGCATCCAGAAGTGGCTAGCCTGTACTCTTGGAAGTCCAGCAAGGGAGACACGGGAGCAAGAGCTGAAAGTAACAGCATGGTATGGCAAGCCAGAATTTGTTTAAGCGTGCCAATCCAGCCAACTATGCACACTTGTTCAGATAATCATTCCTTTTCTGCATAAGTGGGGGACATTATAAGTGTCTTATAACGGGACAGTACAGAGGAATTTAGGCAGCTTTTGTTTCTATGTGGGAGCTCCTCTGGGAAGTTAACTTTCTCTGCTCTTCCTTGTGACCTGGTCTCAGTTTCCCAAAGATGTCAATTAAAAAGAAATTGATCCCACCGGGCAGTGGTGGTGCACGCCTTTAGTCCCAGCACTCAAGAGACAGAGGCAGGAGGATCTCTGTGAGTTTGAGGCCAACCTGACCTACAGACCGAGTTCCGGGACAGGCTCCAAAGCTACACAGAGAAACCTTGTCTTGAAACACACACACACACACACACACAAAAAGAAATTGATCCCATCACCAGTCTTTCAGTCATAGCCTGGTTTTGGTTATGTACTTTCTGAATGGACCTTTGGTGGCAAGAATTCTGTATGCCAGAAAATACATTTAAACCAGGAATTGAGAGGTGATGCCATAGGAAGAAGTCTGGGTCCATCTGAGGTCGGCCTGCAGCTCTCTCCATTCTTGCCTCAGCGAAGCCTTGCGTGATATCTCAGCCTGTACATATTGCTCTCAAAAATAAAAAATAAAAAGGAACACCCATCTTATAAGAGACAACATAAAATGTGTCCCTGATGCCACTGGGACATGAAAGATGAGACTTAGAGGACCATCACCAAGGTTGGTGGAGGGAGCACTGAACCTCAACTCGGAGGAATTAGCTCCAATTCCTTCACTGCCCTGAAGACCAGAAAGTTGAAATGACTTCTGCATATCATATAGTGATGAATGACACAGCACCTTGAAGACCTCTGTTCTCCATCCAGCCACCCCCCAACCCCCCACCCCCGTCTATTGAGGAGACAGCATAATGTAGAATCTGACTTCCTGGGTTCGATCCTGCCTCCACCTCCTAGCTTTCTCTCAGTTTCCTCTGTAATGTATTGGTAACAATAGTGTCCACTTCATAATCTTCCAGATTGAGTTCATACAGTAGGCATCTGTATCTGTACCAGTGGCTTGTTACTCAGTTGTTCATTAATTCATTCATAGAAGGCCTGTGAAAATGCCTTTGAAAAGCAGCGTGGTTCATTGGTCCATCGAACCTACATTGAAGGCCAGTTGTGTGCTCAACACTGACAGGCAGATATGAAACCATGAGTTCATTGCCTCATTAGCCCTGACAGTGGACTCTGACACAGGGTCTCTCAGCTGTCCTGAAACTTGCTGTGTAGACCAAGCTGAACTAGAACTCAGAGATCGTCTTGCCTCTGCCTCCAGAGTGCTGGAATTCAAGGCATAGACCATCATGCCCAGCCTCAGTGGCATTTCCTTGTATCTCTAGGAACTAACATGGTTCAGGCACATGGTTTATTGTATGAATGCACAAACACTACAAGAATGAATGTAGAAAAGAATTAGAAATATGGTTCCTGCATTTTCTTAAGGATTTATTTATTTATCTATCTTATATGCAATAGTGCTTTACTTGCATGTATTATGTGTATCACATGTGTCCTGGCGCCCAAAGAGGCCAGAAGAGGACATCAGATCCCCTGGAACTGGAGTCACAGACAGTTATAAGCTGCCATGTGGGTGCTGGGAACAGAGCCTGGGTCCTCTAGGAGAGCAGCAAATGCTCTTACCTACTAAGCTATCTCTCCAAACCCCCTTTTTATTATGCATGTATTTTTACTTATTTATTTAAATAAACTTTATTATAAAAGCTTGCAAATAAAAAATACCACATAAAAAATTAATCAGACCCAAAGTCTATATGTTTGTCTTATTCATGTTTGTTTAAGACAGGGGTATAGCTATGTTTTTCTTTTTCTTTCTTTTTTTTGAGACAGGATTTCTCTGTATTGTTTTGGAACCCTTATTGGCACTTGCTGGCCTCATACTCACAGAGATCCACCTGCCTCTGCCTCCCAAGTGCTGGGATTAAAGGCATGCACCACCAACGCCCGGCTAGCTATGTTTTTCAATCTGGCTTGAACTCCTAGATTCAAGAGATCGTCCTATCTCAGATTTCTGATTAGCTGGAACTAGATACATGCTGTCTTTAATAAGCCTAAATTCCCACTTCGGGTTTGTACATACGAAAAGAAAGAATAATTGAAGTGAACACATTTAGACTGTATAAAGTAGATATGGTCTGGGGTTATAGCTTAGTGGTAGAGTACTTGCCTGACATGCCTAAGATCCTGGGGTCAATATCCAGAATTACCAGTAACAAAAACATATTAAGAAAATATGTCCAGGCTGGAGAGTTGGTTCAGTGATTAAGAGCACTTATTGTTCTTTTAGAGGACCTAAGTTCAATTCCAAGCACCATATGGTAGCTCACAACAGTTTGCAACTCTATTTCCAAGGGAATTCAATACTCTCTTCTGACCTCTGCAGGCACTGGGCACACATGTGGTGCACACATATGCACGCAGACAAAGCATTCATACACATGAAATAACTCTGAAAACATAAGTTCTTTCAGATATGGTGGCACATGTCTTTACTCCAAGCACTTCACAGGCAGAGGCAGGTGACATCTGAGTGTGATGCTAGCCAGGTCTACACAGTGAGTTCCAGGCCAGCTGAGGCCATACAGTGAGACCCTGTTGAGAAAGGGAGAGGTGGAGAGACAGACAGACAGACAGAGAGAGAGAGAGAGTTCTAAATAATAAAGACTAGGAAAGAGCTCAAGAAACAGGATCTGCATTGGGCAGAGGTGCTAACATGGAAGAAATGGATCTAAACTGGATCTAAACAGGCTTTGGAGTGTCTAGGAGAGAGAAGAGCATTGCAGCTGCAAGAGTAGTGAGCTTGAAAACAGGGTCCAGGTGTTTAAAAACGTGCTTCTATGTGTTCCTGGTCACCGGATGGGCTGGCGATATGGCTCAGTAAAGTGCTTGCCACACAAGTGTGAGGACCTGAGTTTAGATCCCCAGAAGCCACATAAATTCACATACAACAGAATACATCTGCAATCCCAGAACTCTTATGGCAAAATGGGAAACAAAGACAGGAGAATCACCAAGGAGGAAGCTCAAAAGCCTGCTTGCCTGACATACAAAGCAGGAAACAACAAAGAGATTTCATTGCAAATAAGGTGGAAGGCAAGGACTGAGATTGCCCTATGACCTCTGCATGTACACTATAGCACTGTGAGGATGTGCATGAACACACACACACACACACACACACACACACGCACAATGCATGCAAGCAAGTGCATGCACACCTCCACACAGATTTCACACACATCCCATACATATGCACACACACACCAGAATTTTTTTAAAGATGGAATGTTATTTGGATTTGCTTATTTTAGATTATTTATACTCTATCTTAATCTGAAAAGCAAGAATCAAAACAACAGCCAGCTGCTCCCCTCTGCAAAGCAAACAGATTGTAAAAGCAATTACGTTCCGTGCCGCTGTGCAAGCTAGCACCACTTCTCATTTGTCGGCATCCAAGACAACTTCTTCTTCCTCCCTCTCCCACATGGCCCCAGTCTGAGCTAGGATTATTGATTTCTAGATTATTATTGTCTTCTTTTAAAATGCTTTTAAAATTTCCAGACACCCTCCTTCAAGACAGTCTTAAAAAGAAAAAGAAATTCCATGTGTACTGCAGGCATGTGATGTACAACACAGGCTCATATGTACACACATAAATAAAAATAAATCTAAAAATTTTTAAATAAAAAAATTAAGAGAGAAAGAAAAAAGAAAAACTCCTTCCCCCCTCCCCCATCTTTCCATGGTTGGTCCTGGAAACCTTACTGGGACTGCACAGGAATGACAGGCACACAGACAGAAAAGCTAGGATGGTGAGGGACATGCTCACTCTGATGAGGGGATCTACTGCCAACGGGAAACTCAGGGCTTTTCTTCTGTGTGACTCCAGGAGGATGGGTTAGGTGGTCTGCATGCAAGCAGTCTCAGGCTGTGATCCTGAGAGGAGAAAACTGCACACCATAGTCTTTATTAAACACTCATACTTGGACCAGAGGAAGACGTTGCCATTCCTCTGAGCCTCACTAGGGGAAGACTTTGTCATTTCCATGGTTCTGGGGCATTGGGACTCTTGGCTTGATCAGCACAGACAGTTAACCAGGCCTATGGCTTGATCCATGTCTTACACCTGGCCAGAGAGACTATCCCGGCATTTGCCTCTGCCTCCTCCACAGTGAGAATAACTTTAGTGTCCTCTTAGAGCTCATACTCCCCCTCTTCAGGACCATGGCTGAGTTACCAGAATCTCTGTTACCTCACAGCTGGAAGCTCACTTCCAGAGCTTCTGGGATCACAGCCTGGTCCTGGTGGCCAGAGTGGAGGGCATTCAGATGTGTGGTTACATTGAACACATGCTCCTGTGCAAGCAGGAGTGGAATGATAACCTGAGGAGGGCTGGGGGGATTCCAGAATCCTAAATATAAACCTTCCTTTACATGTTCTATGTGTTGGGTGGGGGTAACAGGGAGTGCGTGCCTGCATTGACACACACGTGGAAGTCAGAGGACAATTTCCAGGAGTCAGTACTCTCTTCCCGCCCTGTGGCTAAGGACAGCTAACACACAGACAGGTTCAGCGGCAAGAACCTATTTTCTCTAGCAGCTCCTCAGCTGTGTGATATACAGTGTTCGTACACTTAGACATTTGTCCTGTAGGCCAAGGCTTTTATCTTCCCCTGGGCTCATCTCATGACTTCCTTTCCTGTCCTTCGCTCTCTGTGCTGCAAGGACAGGCCATGCTTAGACCTGGCTGCCACGCAATCCCCCTCTCTTTATCCTCACAGCTCCAGAGATCATCTTCTACCAGAGCCTCACCGACTGCTGCTGACTTCTTCCCCTTGATCCTTTGACCTTCAATGGATGTTGCAGCCTCTGTGATCCTGACCCGAAGAAGATGTAACTAAGTTACAGCACATCGCTACATCCCTGTGATCCCTTTTCTTCTGTTAGGGTCTTTGGGCTGCCAGGGATACTCAATGGTAGCACATTTGAATCATACTCTGTATTGATCTCAGTAGGAAGATCCTTAGGGCCATTTGTGTGTGGGAGTGGGGGATGCTGTTTATTTTTATTACTATTTGGAGCACTTCCGGCAAGTGCTCTACCACTAAGATGAACCTCCAGCCCGACATCCTTATTATTTTCTTTGTTTGTTTGCTTTTATTTTTCAAGACAAGGTTTCTCTGGGTAGCCCTGGCTGTCCTAGAACTCTATCTGTAGGCCACGTTGGCCTTGAACACACAGGGTTTGCCTGCCTCTGCCTCCCAAGTGCTGGGATGAAGGGTGTGTGCTGCCGCCCCGGCAAGATCCTTATTCTTGGGACTCCCCAGTCAGATTTATAAAGCAGCACATAGTGATTCAGGGAAAGCTGGGAAAACAGGAACAAAAAATAGGGATATCTAGCTGAGGTTTCGATTTCATGTAGAAGGAAGAAAAACTGAAGAAAAGATTAGACAAATACAGAGGCATTGAAGACTGAAATACTGGAAGTTCAGCAGAGGCACACGGGAGATTGTGGAGTCCGTGGGAGTGATTATTAGAGTTTGGAGACAGGAGGACCAGGTTTGGAGAATCAGGAAACGGCACCACTCAGTGGTCCAGGTCAGAAACTGCACAGCATCTCCACCCCTCCAGCACGATAAGTCCCTAAGGTCTATCTATCATTCCTCCCTTCTAAGCCTGAGCTCTGCCTACACCTCTTCATCTGGCTATGACCTGAGAGCTCAGGCCACCATCATCTCCTTCCTGGATATGGTAGCAGCCTCTTATTTCTCTTATACTTGTCTTCTGGTCTTTCTAAAATGTCAGTCTGAGGAGTTGTGTTATATATAGCACTTGTCCAGGGTGCTCAGGATTCTGGTCTTGATCTCCAAGTTTCAGGCTAGTCTGGAATATGCAGTACAGTAAGATGCAATCTTTGAAAAAGAAAGAAAAGAAAAAGACATTCCAGTCTCTGTAACCTCCTACAAAAACACAAGCATTTATTTGTTTGTTTGTTTATAGGCAAGGTCTCATGAACCCCATCCAGGTTATTCTGAACTTGTGAGCCTCCTGCCTCCTTCTCTCAAATGCTGCAATCAGAGACATGTGCTACCATACCCACTTATGTGGTGATTAAACCCAGGGGTTCACACTCTCTAGGGAAGACTCTACCAACTGAACTACTGAACTATGAATATCCTTGGCCAAGTTTATATAGATTATAAACTATATAAGAATAAAACTCCCCAGGCAGTAGTAGTGCTCGACTTTAGTCCCAGCACTTGGGAGGCAGAGGCAGGAAGATCTCTGTGAGTTTGAGGTCAGCCTGGTCTACAGAGCGAGTTCCAGCACAAGCTCCAAAAGCTACACAGAACCCCCGTCTTGAAAAACCAAAAAGTAAAAAATAAATTAAGACACTAGACCAAGTGTGCTGGCATGCTTCCACAATCCCAGTACTCAGGACATTCAGGCAGACGAACCTTGAGTGCCAGGCTAGGCTGGGCTATCTAGTGTCACCCCGTCTAAAACAACAAAGCAAAAAGGAAAGGAAAATGGATTCTATATTGCACAATGGGCGTTATTCACAAAACTTCACCTGATAGATTGTCCAGTAATACTAGATGTTACTCCAATACTAGAGAAACAATAATGAGCAAGGTCACTACCCTGGGGGAACTTATTCTCCAGTATAGAAAAAGAGCAATAGAAATGAAAATAGAAGCAGTGGAGACAGTTCAGTCAGTTAGGTGCTTGTCATACAAACATGAAGACCTGAGTTAGGAGCCCCAACAACCACGTAAGAAAGCTATACTGGGTGGTGGTGGCACATGCCTTTAGTCCCAGCACTTGGGAGGCAGAGGCAGGTAGAGCTCTGTGACTTCCAGAACAGGCAGGAATGTTTCATAGAGAAAAGAAGAAAGAAAAGAAAAGAAAAAAGAAAAGAAAAGAAAAGAAACCTGTATATGGTGCATAACTGTAATCCCAGCTTTGGGGAGGCAGATTTTTGAAGCTAGCTGGTCCAGGCAATAGCTAAATGTATAAACTTCAGGTTTAGAAACACACACACACACACACACACACACACACACACACACACACACACACTAAGGTGGAGAGCAAGCCAGAAAAATATGACTGTAACATGAGTAAATAAATAAAAGCCCAGAAATTGATATTGGGATTCAAACTTCAAGCTGAATATCAGAAAAGCAAAGCAGCCAGTCACTAGCTCTTACCACTGCCTCAGGCTGAAAGGGCTGATCCACACATGAGCTCTCCACCAAGTCTCAAAGTGCTGCCTCTCCTCAGTGTGGCTGGAGAACAAATCCTCCTATCTTCAGTGTGGCTGGAGAACGAATGCATCTACCGAGACCTTGCTTCTGTCTTATATACTCCCCTAATGTTGGAATTAAAGGTGTGAGCTATAATTCTCTTTTAGACTGATTCACTCTTGTGTAGATCTGGGTGACTTTGAACTCACAGAGATCTGCCTACCTCTTAACCCTGAGTCCTAGGATTGAGGTGTGTACCACCACCTCCTAGCTTTTGGCTGCTGGGATTAGAGATATGTGCCTGGCTTCTAAGACTTATGGTTGACTTTGCTTTTCTGAATTAAATAATATATCACTATATCTGACATTGACTTCTAACCTACACACACACACACACACACACACACACACACACATGCATGCACACACACACACACACACACAAAATCCTTAAGTAAATGACAAAAGCAAAGAGGAGCTGGAGAGATGCCTAGAACAATGGTTCTCAACCTTCCTAATGCTGTAACCCTTTAATACACTTTAATACAGTTCCTCCTGTTGAGGTGACCCTCCCAACTATAAAATTATTATTGTTGCTACTTCATACTGTAATTTTGCTATTGTTATGAATCATAATACTAATATCTGTGTTTTCTGGTGGTTTTGGCAACACCTGGGAAAGGGAAGTTCGACTCCCCCAAAGGGGTTGTGTCCCACAGGTTGAGAACTGCTGGCTTAGAGATTAAGAGTACTTGCTACTCTTTATAGAAAATCTAGATTCAGTTCCCAGAACCCATACAAGGCACTAATTCTAGCTCCAGGAGGAGTTGACGCCCACTTCTGGTCTCTGTGTACACCTGCACTCATTTGATACATACACATACACTCAGTTATACACACATGCTCATAATTTTTTTTTGTTTGAGACAAAGTCTATCTACATAGCCCTCGCTGTCCTGGAACTCACTCTATAAACCAGGCTGGCCTCGAACTCACAGATATGCCTGTCTCTGCCTCTTGAGTGCTGGGATTAAAAGCCTGTGCTCCATGCCTGGCCATAAATTTTTTTTGTTTTTGTTTTTACCAGACAGGGTTTCTCTGTATTGTTTTTGAGGCTGTCATAACATTTTTAAAATTAAAAATAAAGGCTGAACCGGACACACACCTTTAATCCCAGCACTTGGGGGCAGAGGCAGGTGGATCTCTGTAAGCTCCAGACCAGCCTGGTCTACAAGAGCTAGTTCCAGGACAGCCTCCAAAGCCACAGAGAAACCCTGTCTTGAACCACCCACCCCCTCCCCCCCAAAAAAACCAGGTTGATGGTATAGCACTTGCTTCACATGAACAGGGCTCCAATGTTCAGTCTCCAGCACTACAATAAATAAACATACAAGCCATGTATGATGGCTTGCACTTGTAATACCAGCATTTGGGAGGCTGAGGCAAGAGGGCCATCCATTAGTTCAAGGCCAGCCTGGACTACAGAATGAGACACTGCCTCAGCGAAACAAAACAAAACAACAACAGCAACAACAAAAAATAACCAAAAAAGAAAACTTATGAAATTTTAGTAAGTGTTAAAAAGGAAAAGGAAGGAGCTGATAATGGGCTGAGAAGAAAGAACAGTAGTTATTTAGATAGGGAAACTCTGAGGGGGTGATCCTTGAGATAACAGTGACTAAAGCAGGAACTCAGGGAAGAATGTTCCAGACCCCTTGGTTCTGTGTGTCTAAGGATCAATAGGAGATGGACCCTGGTTTGCTTGTGTGTGTTTGTTTGGCAGAAAACTTTTATTATTTGTCTTCATTATTATTATTATCATGCGTGCACATGCATGTGTGTGTGTATGTGTGCGTCTGTGTGTTTGTGTGTGTCTGTGTGTGTGTGTGTGTGCGCGCGCGCGCGCGTGTGCACGCGAGCGTGCACATTGCTAGAGATTTGATCCAGGGCCTCAGCCCCATTAAGAGGCTTTAAATTGCATGATTTAAGCTTTATTTGGAGAGACTAGATTAGCTACTCATCGAGGAGGTCATGATGGAATTTAGGCAACCAGTTTTGAGGCTGCTATTTTTTTTATCACTTTTTATTTTAATTTTAAATAGCCTGTTTTACATGTCAATCCCAGTTCCCTCTCCCTCCCCTCCTCCCGCACTCCCCTTCCCCCCCAGCCTCCCACCCTATTGCCAATTCCTTCCACATAGGGGATATCTAGAGTCTGTCATTTCGCTCCGGGTAGGGTCCAGGCATTCCCCTAAGAGTCCAGGCTGAGAGAGCATCCCTCTTTGTGCTATGGGCACACGATGATTGTTTGTATTCCAGGGACAGACACTGATCCACTGTTCAAGGCCCCACAGGTTGCCCAGGCCTTCTCACTGACACTCACATTTGGGGGGGGGGGGGTCCAGATCAGTCCCATGTTAGCCTCCCAGCTGTCAGTCTGGGGTCCAAGAGCTCTCCCCTGTTCAGATCAGCTGTCTCTGCTGGTTTTGCCAGCCCATTCTTTGCCAATTTGCTGATCACTTTGAGGCTGCTATTAAAGAGGTCCAGGAGATGTTAGCGATTTGGACCAGAGTAGATTTGGAAGTAATAAGGAGTAGTTACACATAGGATGTGTTGTGGTGTTGTACAGACACACATTCAGGCAAAATATTCAGACACATAAGGTTTTTTTAAATTTTTGTAAATGAAAGAAAGAAAAGGTGGACTGTGACTAAGGAATGACATCCAAGGTTGTCCTTTGGCCTTCATGCACATATGCACACAGATGCATTCATGTTCACACACACACACACACACACACACACACACACACACGATTCTTCATTATCTGTTTAACGCCAAAAAAAAATCAATGAGGAGATGACAAATAACCCAATAGGAAAACAGACAGAAGACATACATGACTAATCATTTCACAGAAGACAGAACATGAATAGCCAATAAATAAATGAAAATATGCTCAATCTCATTAATAATCAAGGAAATATAAATTCAAACCACCATGAAATACCACTTTATGCACAATAAATTGATTAAATACCAATGTTGACATGAATGGTGTAGCAACTCAAATTCTTTTATATTCTGGAAGGTATAAATACTGAAAAACAAAATGAGGTTAGTTAGAAAAGTTAAATAAAAAAATAAAAAATAAGTTTTGTGGGTTTTTTTCCATTTGTTTGTTTTCTTTTTGGTGGTCCAGGGGATTACACATAGGATTTTTTTTGGTAGCACAGGGTTTCTCTTTGCAGCACAGGATGTCCTAGAACCTGCTCTGTAGACCAGGTTGGACTCCAACTCAGAGACTCAGAAATCTGCCTGTCTCTGTCTCCCAAGGGCTGGAATTAAAGGCCTGTGCCACCATGCTTGGCCCTGAAGCCTTGAATTTCCAATCCTCCTGCCCCAGCTTTCCCAGGAACAGGGATGACTGGTTTGTACCACAAGGCTCTGCTTGTTTGTAGTTAATGCTGAAGATTTAACCCAGTGTCTCAAACATGCCAGGAAAATTGTTTACTACTGAGCCACATCTCCAGTCAATAATTGTATACCCTGAAAAGACTTCTCCATGTGTGCTAGGAGACATGTACAGAAATTCTAAAAGAAACATTATTTTTTAGGAAATACCATGGAACAGATTTAAATATTGGTCAACAGGAGAAATAAAGTACAACTATCTACATCAACGTGGAAGGGTCTTACAAATACAGAGTGGAATGAAAAGAGTAAGTGGAAGAAATGACACTGTATGTCACACTCAAAAAGGTTGACAAAAAAAGGAACAAAATTAATACAGTAGGAACCTGAGAATGGCTAGGAAATGACAAGTATGAAATTCAGGGGATCTATAGGAAGGACGCACATGAGACTCTCAACAGGACCAGCAAGTTGCTGCTTTCTTGTTTTTGTTTTTCTTAAGCTCAAGGATTGCTTACAGGCGCCCATTCCATTTTGTTACTATGCCTCATAGTTTATGTAAAGCTTCAGTTCTCTGGATGGATAAAGGGTTTTGTT